GCAGCCAGATTAACAAAATAATATACTTCTGAACTACCCAGCAAGGCCGGTCAGTTCAAAGATGATATCTCAAGACTGCCGCCCGTAAAGAAGATTGAAGCTTGTCCCACAGGACATTGATTACGAAAACAATTCAAAACTCAAAAACAATTCAAAACTCAAAAATTGAGTACTGATTTAGCTAAATACGATGCGGACCATGTTTTTGCCGATGTGGTATGATACAGAGAAGATCAGTATGGACAACGGTACCTGTTCCAGCTTCACTCACAATAAAAATGAAGGGGACAGAACAAAATGAGAAGAGGGTGGGAGAATGTCAAGGGGGAAGTGGGGGCCCGCCATCCAGGTAGATTTGCCTCTCTCTCTCTCTCTCTCGTGTCTCACTCTCTCTTTCTCTCGGCATGCTTGCTTTTTTTTTAATAAATGGGTTCCGATGGACCACGGATCAGATGTAATGAACCCAGTCTGGAAGACACTCGTCAAATGTCAAAGTAGAAGAAAACTCAGCTCTGAATAATGTCTCCAAATAATCGTGAATATGATCTGTGATACAATGTCTTGTAACGAATGGGCGAAAAGAGGAGAGGGGGATTAAACAATTTAGAGGGTGGAAGAGATAATATCCATCAATGACCACAGAGATAGTAGCCCAACGTTTCCCTCTCCTTCTCCCGGATTCCCCCTCGCCTCCATGTCAGCAAACAGTGTCCAATAACGAGCCTGACAGGGCCTGATCACATCAGAGTGCCATGTGGCACAGTTCTCCTGTAAAGACGTTCAGCAGCGCACAGTGACCACGTCAGCAACAGGTAAGTATCCTCTCTCTCAAGCAATCCACAGATCTCGATCTCCCTCCTTGTCGCGTACAACTCAGCAATGAAGAAAATGTGGCATATGCCACGTCAGCACAGAAGACAGAGTGGCATGCGCCACATCAGCTATGCCGAAGACAGCGTGCCGTGCGCCACATCAGCAGAGGCTGGCACCAAGACGGAAGGCGCTGCAAGCAAGCAGCAGTCTCACGTAGTCATCCACAGTGCAGCTGACAGCTAGCATCCAGCCAGCGTCAAGCCAACGTCTAGCCAGCGTCATGTCAGAATAGCAAGACTGAATGCTGACTCCCTGGAGGCCGGGCCTTAACTAGCGTTTGACGAGGTTGACCAGCCTCAGGTCTGTCACCCATGGTGGCTCAGATCGACTCCCAGCCGAGGGCCTGGATCTCATACAGTTGCAGACTTCCACTTGGTCAAGATGCTGTCTTGGTACCTGCACACAAACAAGTGTGTGTGTCTGACCGGCGGCCTGGGCTGGGTCACATTGGCTTTGACTCGTGGGTCTCAGGCGGTTCACCGAAGTCAACGGTCAGGCGCACAGGCCCTGCAGCCAAATTCCTCACGGCCTTAGGCCGGGGTCGCGACCTGTGCGTGCCCCCCCTTCAGGACACATCAGGGCATATGGAGCGGGGTATTGCCCAGATATGAAAATGATAAGAAAAGATACTACACTTGATCGTGTAGGGGGGGGTTGGAAGGGGCGCATAGTTAGTTAGATTTTTGTGGGGCTGTGCATTAATTAGTGCGCCGCTTTTCTTTCCTTGGATTTCTCTCTCTCTCTCTCTCTCTCTCTCTCTCTCTCTCTCTCTCTCTCTCTCTCTCTCTCTCTCTCTCCCCCCCCCCCCCCCCCCCCCC